GTCCCGGTGCCACAGCGGTGGAGTAAATGACAGCCCGAGCCCCCGCCGGGGACAAGCGGTTTGTGAGTAAAGCCGGACGCTTGCAGCCGCGCCCCGGCCCGGTTAGCTGCCCCGCCGTGCGAGTGCTGTTCGGCATCACTCGGCGCTGGTAAACCTTGAGACTGAAAGGAGCGGCGGCCAAGCGGGCAGCGGAGAGTTGAGTGAAGAGGTTCGGTTAATTCCTTCTTTTAACTGAACCTCTGGGCTCAATAAAGCCGAATCGGTGTGGATCGCTCGGGTAACCCCGTGGCTGGGGTGTGCTGTCAGTGTAGAAAGCGGTTCTCCAACTTCAGGCAGAAGTGTTGCTATGCTGCAAATACAGTAGAGCCCCATATGTTTAGGATTTTCTTTTCTTTTTTTTTTTTTTTCCCCTCCCTGTTAGAAAGTTTGAAAAAAAGAGACTTTGAAGTATTTTGTTTATACTAACAGAAGAGAAAAGTTCTCCTAAGAAAAAGCTGGTGGCAGGAGTGTAGAGGAGTAGCATATGGCATTAAAAGGAGCACAGCTGGAGGTAGCATTTCCATCTGAACATGATGTCAGAGCAGCTGACAGCCTGCCATCCCTCAGCCTTTTATTCTAACACACAGACAGGGAGTTAGTGTGTGCAGATCTGTGTGTGGAGAAGGTATCTCATTCCTCTCTAACATCATCTCCACTTTGCATCTGTCTCTCCTAGTCTGCTTTTTTTCCACCGATCTAACAGACCTGGAGCCAGCAAGACTCAGAGGAAAGGACTTAATCAGGTTTATGTGTACTAAAGGTAGGAGTAGCAATAGATTAGATACAGCATATTTCTGTTTTGGTGTGTTGTTTATTGAATTTCAGAAAAAAAAAATCACATTACTTTTCTAACCAAGTTTAGAGGTAATATATGAAATTGAGTATTAAGTAGATAAGTGGACTTAGTCAAAAGACTTGGGCTACAGTTGGAGAGTATCAGTTCTTGGGCACATTGTTAGCATTAACTTTAATGCATATTGTGAGAATGTCTTGGTTTGGAAGAAGGAGAGAGCAAGTTCGTTCTTCATTTCTGGGACCAGAACTGCAATGGATTTAGTGGCAAGCCTAGAGAGAGCTCTGCTTTATGTTCTTGTATTGCATCTTTTAAATGACTTTACGAGGCTTTTAGTGAAATACACAAAAGTGTGCCTTTTTCTTTTTTTTTTTTTAAAAAAAGGACTGTTCTGACTAAAATGTGTTTGTGGGGAAGTCTTTCATTAAACTTTGCTGCTAAATATCCAGCAGCTCAGAACCATGGTAGCATACAGCTGTAGTGCTTCTGAAAGACAGAAATCAGTTATGCGTTTAAAAACTTTTGTACCCGGGAGAATGGCTTGACTGGTTTCCTCTTTTCTTTCTCGCATGTAGCATTTGAAATCTTTTATTTCAGCATAACAATAATTATTTGAAGGAGTTTTTGTATTTGCGACTAATTTAGAACTTGTAGATTTGAGCTGCCTGAATTGGCCAGACAGCTGTAATCGCACTCCTCTATTCTTAATCTCTTTATCTGGGCAGCAGCTGCCATATGGCCACAGTCAGCTGGATCAGATGTTTATAAGCTTCCTTCTTCGTCCCTCTCTGTCCTTTCAGCCTCCTAATTTGATCACAGCTACCTTGTGAGCTGCCCTCCAATCTTTATTTTTAGCCCTCTTAAGGATTAGGATTGATGTTGGCTGTGGGGCACTTAAAGTGATTGTATTGTAAATCTTCGCGCTTTACTCCAGCAATGGTATTTTACAGAATATAGTAGGGGTTGTGTTGTAAGTTCTAGTACATCTTGGTTTGCAAGGGGTGAGGATTTTTCAGTAGTATCTGCCAGCTTAGAGAGCCACAGTCTGCTTAGATGGTTTGGGAGAGCATTGCAATCAATCGCAGAAGAATAGATTAAGACAGATTTTTAAGAGATTTTACTTTCTGTTTGAGTTTTGACTTCTGTACTTCTCTGAAGTTTATTTTTTCTTTATCATCAAGGAAGGTGAATAGAAAAATACTTGGGTAAGAACAGTACTTGGGATACTGATTTTAAATATGCACACATGCTCACGTTGAATTACTTTTTTTTTTTTTTAAGTTTGGTACTGCAAACTCTGGCTGGTGTGGGAGGGGAGGGAAATTTCTGTCCTCTTGCATAGGGGAAGTGGTGCTCGCTGGCGCTTTGGTTGTTAGTTTTCTTTTGCAAATTCTGCATGTTGGCAAAAAATGTTCATGTTCTATTGTACAGTGTGGAGAAGGTTTAAAACCTGAACCTGTACTTGCTACAAGAAGAAAAGCAGGCAAACTATATTTCTAAAAATCTTGATTTTGCTGTTGATACAAATTGACACCCATAAATCATTCTTATACTTTATGAATGTTCAGATTTGGGTATATTAGCATTTCTTTGTGCGCGAACCTCTCCTCTTACTACATTTTAACTTTAAAAACAAGGTTGATGATCTGATTTTTATTTTTTTTTCCTTTCCCTTCTGTGATGTCTCAAACTTCATGTTAAAAAAAAAAAAAATATTTTGGGGGGGGTCTGCCCTCCTAGGGACACAATCTGGAGGAAGTTCCCTAAAAAAAACTTTCCCTTCTGTGATGTCTCAAACTTCATGTTCAAAAAAAAAAAAATTTTGGGGGGGGGTCTGCCCTCCTAGGGGCACAATCTGGAGGAAGTTCCCTAAAAAAAAACAAAAAACAAATAACTGTTGAACAGATTTTATGAACAGCAGTGATTCTTTAGAAAAAATTACAGATGTACCTATGCGCTTATTAGAGCGGCTTATTTGCCACAGAAAGGAAATCATAACT